CAAGCAAGTTTATGTTATGTTTCTGTTTTGACTGTCCAATGTTCTGGTCATGGTTTTTAATTTTTTTTAAGTACTTATGGTTAAGGTGTGGAATTAGTTTATATATATATTTATATATTTTGATTCTGGTTACAAAATGAAAAACAACAATATTTCATTTCTTATCTTATCTCATTCGCATGTTGTACGATTCGAATTTATGATTTTTTACTTCCAGCAAAAAAAAAAAATTACTAAATTACTTAAGTCGTTAATAATTTTTGTATATTTTAAAATCAATTTTTTTAGGTGACTTTAAGCATACACCTTCTATGTCAATTTGATGCGTTTAAAGATATTGATTTTTTAAATATTAGTGTCAAAACTTAAATAAAAAATTTAATTTATAAAATAATATTTATTTATTAATAAATTTACCCATTGGTATCATGGTTTTGAGTTTCCTACAGAAGCGTAATGCTATGGTGGTAACATATGGTTTGATTCCATACACTCATTGAGATTTTGCTCCCGCAATTTTTGACTTTATTTTATTCCGTTACTTGTATGTGTCAATATCCATAAGTCATTTTTTTCCAGCTGATTGTAACAAAACAAAAATATCATCCCAAAAGAATCGGCTGTGGTTTCCACACACAATATTATACAATATTACTAAGGCAACACAAATTTAGATTTTTTTTTTCTTATTAAATAGTTATAGTGTTTAAAAGTATTGATTTTGTAATTAATTTTAATTTATTAATTAAAATAATAAATATTAATAATTAATAATTATAATTATTAAATAATTTTATTAATTAAATTAAACTAAATTAATTTTTAAAAAATAAATATTTTACAATTTTAATTGTTATAACATTATTCTTAGTGATTATAAATGTCTCCATTTGATCTCTTCCTTTTCATCTTGACTTTGTCTTCTTCTTTTTTATCTCTTGTTATGGTGAAAAAATAAATTCTCTAATTTCAAGTTCTTAATTTTGAGTTTAATTTGTAAAGCATTGATAGTTGAAATAATCTTATTAGTAGTATAAAAGAGTTTCCATGCTCTTATAACAAGAATTTAAACTTACTCCTTCCCAATGTATATTCTTCTTTATAATCTTGAATAACTTGCTTTAATATATAATTTTTTTTTGAGTTTAATTTACAACTTTTATTACCATCCTGTGTTTAAATTAATTGTCTTAATTAACATTTTACATTACATAAAAAAAAATGTATTGCTTGATTCATACTGTAAAATTTAGAAAGTAAGACAGTAAAAATTGGGGAGAAATTTGGATTTAACTCGAATTGACTTGAAGTACTTCTTGGCC